TTGCGTTGATGACCACGGTGAATGTCAACGGTTTTATAATGGTGGATAACGCTTGACTCTGTTTGATTGTCCGACTGTCTGCCTGTCTATGTACCTACTATGTCTGCCCGTCTACTGTCTCTGTTTGATTGTCCAGCTGTCTGCCTGTCTGCCTGTCTTTGTGCCTGCCTGCCTCTGTCTACCAGTCAATCTGTCTGTTTGTGACGTTGACGTGACCCTATGTTGACGCTATACTGAGGTTTGTCCGGCGCTATAGTGACGTTGACCTGGGACCATTCATCAGTATAGCGTTTGTCAACGTCACTATAGCTCCAGGAAACGTCATTATAGGGTCAGGCGTGTGTCAACGTCACTATAGCTCCAGGAAACGTCAGTATAGGGTCAGGTCAACATGAAATTTTTTATGTTTATTATCCTGATGTTGACCTGGTCCTGTAGTGGCCCGCGGTGCGTTCAAATTTATTATGTTTATTATCCTGATGTTGACCTGTATAGACTCCTATCCGACAGGTCTACAGATCGAACCCATGCTACCCATGGACCCTACGACAACCTATCAGCTGTTACAACTACACAGGTTGCGGGTTCAAATCTACGGGCCGACACAAGTACTGTACACAGGTAAGGTTGGGGTCTAGGGATCGAACCCTGGGATCTGCAGCAGCTACTGCTAACTGGTGAATACCGTTTCACTTGGGCATCGGGCCCACTTTTAATTTAAAAAAAAAAAAAAAAAACCAGCAATTTTGGCATTTGTGCAGATGCAGGGGCAGGGATAGGCCTAGATCCAGTCCCAGGTGCAGCTCCAGGTACAGGCCCAGGCCTAGGTACAGGTGCAGGTACAGGCCCAGGCCCAGGCCCAACTACCCAACTACCCAACCACCGAACGACCCAACCACCCAACTACCCAACCACCCGACCACCCAACCACCGAACCACCGAACCGCAGAACCACCCAACGACCCAAGCGCGGAACCACCCAACGAACCAGCCATCCACCCAACCACCAACCACCCAACGAACCAGAGTCCTGCGTGCAGGGCCAGGTGCAGGCCCGCATGTGCAGCCCCACGCTCAGGCCCGCAGATGCAGGACTGCAGGTGCAGGCCCACGGCCAGGTGCACCCGCGACAGCAGGCCTGCACCTGGGCCCAGGTGGAGCCCCAGGTGCAGGCCCACGCCCAGGCCCACGTGCAGGTACAGATGCACGCCCATGTGCAGGCCCCGCTGCAAGCCCCGGCCCAGGTGCAAGCCTTGGCCCATGTACAGATGCAGGCTCAGGTGCAAGCCCTGCTGCAAGCCCCGTTGGAAGCCCCGGCCCAGATGCAAGCCCACGTGCAGGTCCAGGTGCAGGCCCAGGTGCAGGCACAGGTCCCGGTGCAGGTTTCCGAGGTTGATTTTTTTTTTTTTTTTTAGCAGGATAAGCAAAAAGTCTATCTCTCCGCAGATACGGGCTTGCAGGTGCAGGTCCACGCCCAGGTGCACCCGCGACAGCGGGCCTGCGCCTGGGCCCCGATGGAGCCCCAGGTGCAGGCCCACGTGCAGGTACAGATGCACGCCTATGTGCAGGCGTTGACTTGGGTCTGGGCCCGGGTTGTTAATTGGGTGTGGGCCTGTGACCCTTTGAGTGGCGTATGGGCCAGAGTCCCAGACCTGATTTTTTTTTTTTTTTTTGCCACAGACCTGGACCCATACATACCCAACCACCAACCACTCAACGAACCACCAACCACCCAACCACCAACCACCCAACCAACCACACAACCAGCCCAGTGTCCGGTTCCCGAGGTTGATTTTT